TCGCAGCGCCGCCGCCGCCGCCACCTTCTTCCCCTCCCGCTGCTGCTGCTTCGCCCCCTGCCCTTGCCGCCGCCGCCGTTCCTCTCCCGCCGGCGGGCGGCAGCGATTTCCGCGACCCGGTCGTGCGCTCCAAGCTCATCGTTTATTTGGCGCTCCTGGGATCCGAGAACCGCGAAGCGGCGGGACGTTTGCACCGCCTCCTGCCCCAGATAGACGCCATCCTGCAATACTGCCGGCCCGTCGGCCCTCTGCGGGCCGGGCGGGAAGTCGAGGACGAGGCGGTGGCCCTGGCTGGGCCTCGGGCGGTGGAAGAGGGCCTGGGGCTGGTGGCTCAAGAGGAGCTCCTGCTACTCTTCACCATGGCTTCCCTGCACCCCGCCTTCTCCTTCCACCAGAGGGTCACTCTCAGGGAACACTTGGACCGGCTGCGGAGGGCCCTCTGCCGGGACACCGAGGAGGCGGACGGGCTTGCTTGCCATGGGAACCGGGTAAGGAGCTCATCCCGGGAAGCTGCCGTTTTCCGCTTCCGCAGCCCCTGCCGGCCTTTGGGTTAAATCCATACGCCATGAGCAGAGGTCTTCCTCCGGCCGCCTCTGTGTCCCTTGCCGTGGGCGGCTCCTGGAAGATCCGTCTCGTGTGAGATGATACCATGGATCAGCTGCCAAAGGCCCACCCAGTCCGCCACCCTTTTTACGAAGTGATCCTCTCATACGAATTGCTAGGCAAGGTTTTAGTGGGCAGGAGAGGTGTCTAATTAATTTGGGAGACAGCCATGGTCTAGCACCCTTATGGTTTAGGTAATAGGGGGGAGTAGAATATGTGTGCTTTGTGGCACCTGAAATGAAAAGATGTGTTAGTTACAAAGTGTGTCTTTTTGCTGTAAAACCTCGAGCCCTTGAAAGATATGGAGGGGGGGAATACACCCGGAAGTACAAGTATTTGCAGTGATCATTTCCTTTGATAGGTTATATCTCTTTAAAAATAATGTTATTTGTTCCAAAATGACATCACTGTGGACTAATAGATGGAGCTTTCTCAGTAAAATAATTTCTGGGTAGTTTAACTGATTTTTAGCTGCCTGAGAAAACCTGCAGTCAAGTAGAAAGGTGAAGTGTGAATATTTTGAATATGGACACTAGACTTAGAGCCAAAATTTTTAAGAAGTTTGGTAGCCACTTACTGACTTTGTTTACTAAGGCAGTGGTTGGTCTTCTGGGAATAGATGTAGGGTTTGAAAATGTTTCTTAAAATATTTTGCTAGTTGTTTAAAAAGCAACAGTTTAACTAGAGGAAGCTATCAGACATCATATTGTTCTTTGTTATTTTTCTTCCAAAAATGTGATACAGTTTACCTATTACTTGTAATGCTTTGCTCTCAAGGAAAAAACATGTAAAAATCAGTGTTTCAGGGTTGCTTTGAAAAGCAGCGAGGCACACTTGCAATATTAACCCATTAAATTTTTGTTTACTTAAAACAAGCCCTATTCCATTGCTGAGTGCAAGGAAGTGCCGCCATGATGGTATTTTAGTTACAAGCTCAAATAGAAAAGAATTTCTTAGCTGTGTCTGGAACACAGGAGAACAGAAGAAGAGCCTTCTGGGATTAAACTAAAGATCCATCTAATTCATCATCCAGTTTCCATTGGTACCTAACTTTACAGCAAGACCAGGCAAAGTGTGGCCCACTGCTTCTTTTCCTCAGAAATGCTCTTTGTGCTTTCTAAGGAGCACGGGAGCAATTTTGCTGTGTTTGAGGGCACTGCCTGCTTTCCCCTCTTTATGTAAAAAAAGTGGAAATAGAGGGCTTTTTTTGAGGAAAAAGGAAAGAGACATTTTGGGGATGGGGAGCCAGGGGTTTGGCCCCTGAACCTTTGGAAATTGCCATTTGTCCATTCGAGCCTCTGTAATAGCCCACAGACACGTATGGTGTTGAGAATTGGATTCCTTCTTTCTCAACAAGTAATGCTCAGAAATACACTGCCTATAACCATAGATATTCTGTTTAATTGATGGCTGTTGATAAACCTGTTCTTCATAAATGTGAGTGAACTGAAAAGAAAAGATAGAAGGAAGGAATGAAGAACCCATTTAAGCTAACAGTCATCATCAACTTTTATGGTAATGAAAAATGTAGATTAGTTTAATATATTACCATTTTTCTCCTGAATCAACTCCTATTGTGTTTCATTAGGTTGACCCTGCATCAAATATGTACTTTCCCAGTGAAGGGGGTGGGGCCCATGCCCAGGGCTGCATGCGGCTTATGGGCTGCAGTTTGCCCATCCCTGAACTGAAAGCTAAATAAAGGTTTACAGGTTACACCAGAATGCAGTGTTGTCTAAAAAAAGTTTTTAAGAGTAGATCTAGATGTAACCATGTTAGTCTGTTCTAGCATATCAGACAAAAAAGAAAAGAAAGAAAAAGACAAAATATTTTGGCACCTTAAAGACTAACTGCTATATTTTAATGTTAGTTGTCCTGCCAATGTAGCAGTTCTCCTGCCAACCTAGCAGTTCGAAAGCATGTAAAAATGTGAATAGATAAATAGGTACCGCCTCAGTAGGAAGGTAATGGCATTCCGCGTCTAGTCGCGCTAGCCACATGACCATGGAAACTGTCTTCGGACAAACTCTGGCTCTGTGGCTTGGAAACGGGGATGAGCTCTGCCCCCTAGAGTTGGACACAACTGGACTAAATGTCAAGGGGAATCTTTACCTTTACCTTCATAGATTAAGACGTAAGAGTGAGATGCTGTGGCAAATTTGTATACATTTATATAAAATAAAGAAAGTTGCTTAGTAGACAGAAATTGCAATTATGTGAGTCAGTGTGGTATTTCATACCTAGTAATGACATTGTTTTGTGTTCAGATCTTTTCCATTGAAGCTATGCACTGTGAAAAACAAAAATGGTTAGTGGGTAAAGGAATCCCTGGTTAATTTATTGATAAATGTTAGTCTGTTGTAGCAAAAAGAATATTGTTGTCAGATAGTGGGCTCAACTATGAAGTCTTAGATCACAGTAAGACTGTGAGTGTTTGGGTTGTTCTAAAAAATGTATTAACATTTTTAAAATGTCTAGTCTGGTGCATGTTTGAGCTTTATCAATGCACCTCAATTGCATTTTTAAGTAGAGATAGGTTGCATAGAGAACATTTTGCAATATCTTTTCACATATACATTATTTATTATTGCCTCTCCACTGTTAGATACTTGTATTGCTAAATGTGATTATATTTCTGTTTCACATTTTAATCCTTCCCCCCTCCATGTAGAACTTCCCCCATCATTGTATGCCAAGAAATGAGGGCAGTTTACTTGAACAAAGGGCAGCATCTCATGATAAATCTATGATAGCCTCCCACAAACCACAGCAAGAAGGTATGTAGGTGAAATCTTACATATTGACAAACTAAATATTTAGCATTTTACTCAATGTTATGTGCTTTAGAGACTAACAAGTATCCTTACTATGGCAAGTGTCACACCAGCTTCAGGTGTGCCTAAGGATCACTCACAATTCCTCCTAATCTTGAAGATCCAGAAGTGGATAAAATAATCCAAGCAGTTGTGAATGTGATGCCAACCATATCCTCAACTTCAGAGCTGAGGGGAAGGCTGGTAATTGTGTTACAGCTGCATGCAAAAGTATGCAAGAAGCTCAGCTGTGCAGGTGAAAGTAATAACCCACTTCCCATTCTAATACTTTTTTAAACCTTTGGTCTTCCTGTTACAATCATTTGCAATGCTGAAATGGAAACCTTTCCACTGTTGTACTTTTTAACAGGAGACATAGAAGTTTTTAACTCTGTATAGGCTTCATAAAACATTTTTTTGATGTATTGATTTTGTATAACAAGGCAAATTGGGAAGGTGGAATGGCTAAAATACCAGTCAAAATTCTGGTTACAATTATTCTTTTTTCAGGTTGTGGGTTTTAATGACCACAGTAGTTCACACACGCAACTGCTCAGCCCTTGTAAAATCTGTTTTCACAAATTTATTAGATTTTCCCCTAAATAATGTAAGCCATTTCCAAGCACTCCAGTAACATATTTGCTTTTGTTCAGCTGTAACATTCAAGCCAGATTAACAGTGCAATTCTGTGCTTGTTTACTCAGAAAGAAATCCCACTCCTAGTTCATTGGGCTTAGTATCAGGTAAGCAGGTATAGTATTGCACCTGAATAATATACAATTGATATATTTTGCAAATAGATCAGTTCAGCTACATTTGCCTATTCTGAAGATTGTTCAGGTATTCATACAACATGTAAAGTTAAAATGGCTTACTGATTTTTTCATGAGATATAAGTCAAACATATTAAATCAGATCTCAGTTATTTAAAACAGTAGGCAAAGATTTGTCTTTCCACCCAGAAATTACACATCACTGCTTATTTGTCCAGTTTGTTAAATTCACAAGCTGTAAGCAGATCTGCATTTGCTTCTTGCAAAACTTCCATAGGCCAGATTGACCCATGGTAATTAAATGCTTTGAAGTGCTTTTAAAAGATAATGAATGGCTATGAAATTTTGTGGTGCCCTTCGGGATTCCTTTTTTTGTTAGACTGACAACATTAATGTTAACTGATTAAGGCTGACTCGGGGCTTCTTAATCATGGTTTGAAATAGCTTTAGTCTGTGGTTATCCTTAGTATCAGTACATATGTGCTGTTGAAATTTGATTAGGATTCACTTAGAAATAATGGCATTCTGACAAAGAATGTGTGATTTTGAGACATTTTCCCATCCTCTCCTCACCCCGCAGAGTAATATCTACATGTGAATACAGCATAAAAGTTGGTTTCCAATATTGACTTATAAAGGGAAGAGTACACAAGGATAACACAAAAAACTTAGTGTCCTGGCAGAAGAAATCTTCTGTCTGATGGTGAAAAGAAATGCATTGATATTTCTCCTTTGTACATATGAGAACAAGGAGGAATTTTCCCCTGCTCCAGATAGATGGTTTCCATTACTGCTAGGTAAATTGCATTATTTCTTGTTTCTTCCTTAATGGGTTTGTTCATAGTAAAATGAGAGATTGAAGAAGCAATTGAAAAATGCAGGAGGATTGCAAACAAAATAAAACATATTTTGCCCGTCCCTTACCCACCCTGTAAAATTCCATGAATAAGGCAGGGAGACTTACAATAGAATTATTGTGTAAAAAGCATTATAGGCATCTATACAAAGAGCTCAGGATGAACAAGAAAGATTTTTTTTCATTATTTACTGGGACATCCTATGACTATATAGCTGTGCTTCTATATGAATGGTGCTCTTCTGTCTTCTGTCATGCGCTCTTAAAAGGTAGTATACCTTAGGTCTTGTTTGTTGTATTTATTTATTTATTTAATATGCTGCCCACACTACCCAAAGGTCTCTGGGCGGTATGTAGGGTTGATTCTGAAAATCTATCAAAACCCAAATTAGTTCTGCTCTAGAACTAAATTAATGTTTTATATGATTATCCCTAAGAAATATTTGAGTATAGGAGTTTTTCTTAAGTTGTAAGGGCAGTGTGAAATAAAAACACAAATATACACAATAATCCAAATTAATATCAGATTAGTCAATATGAAGTTATAAATTTACCTTTTGACTGTGCAGGTTGAATTGAAACTTACATTAAACTCTTATTAATGTTTGTCAGTATCTGCTGTCTTTTATTGAACTTAGAAAGATTTTATTCTCACAAAAATCCTGCAAGTCTCTTAACATCTGTCCAGTTCTGTGCAGTGTGCCAGTGTCTTTTAGAGTTACAAGGCAAGAATAGTTTTTAACCTAGTCTTTCTAAAATGCTTGGGACTCATCAACTCTTCCTAAAATGCTTGGAACAAATTAACTCAGATTTGGATAGGAGCCTCGTGGCACAGTCGTTAAAATGCTGTACTGCAGCTAAAACTGTGCTCACGACCTGGGGTTCAAATCCCAGGTAGCCGGCTCAAGGTTGACTCAGCCTTCTATCCTTCCGAGGTCGGTAAAATGAGTACCCAGCTCGCTGGGGGGGCAATGTGTAGCCTGCACAATTAAATTGTAAACCGCCCAGAGAGTGCTTGAAGCGCTATGGGGCGGTATATAAGCAGCACGCTTTGCTTTGCTTTTTTGCTTTGCTTGTCATATGGGTAATGCGATTCCTTTGGTACATCAGCTGAAAATCAGTTTAAAACTAATACAGTTAGGTGTTTTATGCTGATAGACTTATTAATTTATGAAATTCATATATCTGTCAGAAATGGCACTCAAGTTGATTTTCAATAATAAAAATCAAATAAAAACAGAAATTTAAAATCAGGTGAAATTTAAAACCAGGTGAAAAATAATTAGAGCACAGACAAAAAGAAATAGAAGCATCCAAACTGGTTAAAATCCTCTTCAACTGCAACCGAGAATTGCTAAAAATTATCTAAATTAAAGTTTCATTGCCTGCTAGCAGGTGGACAGTAAAGAAGAAGCCATCCTAAAGTCTCGTGGTAGAAAATGTTAAAGCATAGGAGTGATTTCAGAAGAAGCTCTTGTGATAGATGATTATGTGAATATGTTTGGATCACATATATTAAGAAACGTGTCTGTTGCTGCTGCACAGTGGTATTGATGTTAAAGGGTGCAATGATATGCATCTAGTACCTAAAAATCCTAGAAGAGATGAAATTTTCCAGAACAGTGTAAGGGTAAATACCTTATAAATATATGTTCAAGTGTGGAAAGTTCTTCTGACTTACACAGAATTTTCACATTTCTATCTTGTTCTTCCTTCAGCTGTGCATATTCAGAAGATAATGTTGAAAGGAGCACCACGGAAAAGATCTGATAAACATCTGGAGTATACCTTCAAAGTGAGTGTCCAGTCTGTGGACTGACAGCACTAAGATTGTAACATTGGTACCCTATAATGGCTTCCTGAGTAAACAAGAGTAATATGTGAAAGAGTAAGGTTGATTATATTATCTGTCATGGAGCTCTTTAAGCTCTGGATTCTTAGATTGAAAAGGGTTTGTATTTGCTGATCCACAGTGTCTACACAATCCAGTTCTGTGATTCTGAGGTTAAGGTCTCTAAAAATAAGTGTAGGATGCAATTAGGCAGGCAATCTGTCCAAGTTTGGATCTGACAATTGGTGTAATGAACCCATTTGAATAGCATTTGGATGGATCTTTCAGTTCACATGGAAATATTCACTTTATCCCCATAGTTTTGGGACAAAGAACCACATGCATCTCAAATCCCTGAAACTCTCCTCTGTCATTTGTACTACCCTATTTTCCAACCTTCCTTTCATCCCTCTGACATTTCCTTGCAAGTGACATAGCACTGAGGTTCTTTAATACTTTGTAAATGCGGAAGGGAAACTTTTAGGGGTTATCTGACAGAGCATAGCATCTCATAAAGTAGTTTTTAAAAAAAAACAGAAGAGGATGGAGTTTACCCTCCTCTGGCACTTTATACTGCCAGAGGAGGGTAGACAGCCAGTGGTCTCAGTTGTGAATGGTCTGGAACCATGGTTAATAGGCCCAGACCGGACAAGAGGAAAGGGAAATAATTTGGTGGGTTTGCAGTACATAAGAACATAAGAAGAACCATGCCGGATCAGGCAAAGGGCCCTTCTAGTGCAGTTTCCTGTATCTCACAGTGGCCCCACCAGATGCCTCTGGGAGCACATGAGACAACTAGATACGTGTCTCCTGATACCCCTCCCCTGCATCTGGCATTTGGAGGTACCATCCTTTTAAGCCTAGAGATTATACATCCCCATCATGACTTGTAACCTGCATTGGACTTTTCCTCCAGAAATCTGTCCATTCCCCTTTTAAAGATATCTATGCCAAATGCCATCACCACATCCTGTGGCAGGGAGTTCCACAGACTAATAACATTGCGTAAAGAAATATTTTCTTTTGTCTGTTCTCTCTCTCCCAACACTCAATTTGAGGGGATGTCCCCTGGTTCTGGTATTGTGTGAGAGGGAAAAGAGCTTCCCTCTATCCATTTTATCTATCCCCTGCATAATTTTATATGTCTCAGTCATGTTCCCCCTCAGACTAAAGAGCCCCAAATGCTGTAGCCTTTCCTTATAAGGGAGGTGCCTCAGCCCAGTCATCATTTTAATCGCTCTCTTCTGTACCTTTTCCAGTTCTGTTATGTCTTTTTTGAGGTATGGCGACCAGAACTGTATGCAATACTCCAGGTGCAGCCTTACCAGTGTTTTGTACAATGGCATTATAATGTTGGCTGTTTTATTTTCAATCCCCTTTTTAAGGAAATTGGCCTTCTTCACTGCCTTCACACACTGGGTTGACACTTTCATTGAGTGGTCCACCAGTACACCAACATCTCTTTCCTGATCCATAACGGACAGCTCAGAACCCATTAACTGATAACTAAAGTTTTGATTTTTCACCCCAATGTGCATTACATTACATTTTCCTATAATGAAACACATTTGCTATTTTGCCGCCCATTCTCCCAGTCTGGAGAGATCCTTCTGGAACTCTTCACAATCCCTTCTGGTCTTCACCACCTGAAAAATACTTTTTAAGAAGCACTTCAGCAATACATGGTATCATACCTTAGGGTATGTCACTGTTAACATCACCACCACTCCTGGTTGGAATAATATATACAATCATACATACCAGAAACCAGAATGAAACGATATGATCTCTCTCTCAAAAAAATTCTTGCCATTTGGACAGTGAATCACAAAGATCAGAATTAACATGGACAAAAGCTAGAATGATTCACATTTAGCTGTACATGTAGTTACCAGAAAATAAATCAGACTTGCCTTTACTATGCCAATAGTGGTCCAAATCGCAGGGTAACTTGCAGTGTAGCCTCACTGCTATATAAAGACTCGTTAAAATGCCAGATAGATGCTCTCGCCACATCTACACTGCTCATTCACCAAATTTGATAGTGTAAATATATACTGAAATAACAGATCTCCAATGGTTTAGCAACTTTTGAATATGGCAATTGTATTCCATTGAGAAAATACTACCTATATACAGCTTGTTATATTAAAATTGTGAAAACTGAATTTCAAAATATTCCACAAAATGCCTGCTTCTTGTATATAATTTGAAATACTCTAAAAGATTAAAAACAAACTTCTCTTTCTTGCACTTGTCATAATGTTTAGTTTATGGTAACATCTTTTGAAGAATATACTGTAGTAGTGTTTCCCAACAGTGACCCCTGTCTTGTTGTGGAGGTATGCTCCTATAGCAAAAAGGTTGTCACCAGCTGTAGAAGATTGCTACTATGTTAAAGAGTTCTTGCTTTGATTTCAGGTTACACACAACTTGTGCGGAGTGAGACAAAATTGCACACAATGTAGAATCAAACAAAGACTCTTTAATTAGCTGCATTCTTGCTGAGCTGATATAATTAAACAACAGATATGAAATCCATTAATTTTTCACAGAGACTTTGATGTATGTCTGTTTATATTGCCCTGTTCTTGGAAGCTAAAAGTTCTTCTGTTTCTGTAAGATATTTGTATATCATGATGGTTTAGTATAGATTACATTATAAACATTGTAGAAAACATATTTTGTTTTTTTTGTGTGTCAGGTAATCTGGTCTGATCATTCTATATCTTGTGTGACTAAAACACACCAGGAACTACAGGAATTTCTACTGAAAGTAAGTGTTCAAAAGAGATGGCATAATAAAAATAGAGAGCCTTTTAACAATGTGGTATCCTAAAATACAGTTTTAGGTTGAATGCTGGATGTGTAAGATTGACCCCCAAAGCAGTTGAGCTGTTGATGACCTAAAAATGTTGGAAGAAAACATATCTGACTACACATGTGTTTAGTTGATACTTGGTAATGGAATTTTGACCATTTAATAGGACTGTCTAGACACAATTTCAGATTGGCAAATGGAAGTTCCTTTGTGTGGGAAAATTTCTCATACATTTCTCAGCAGCAAAAGTTGGATTTGCCTGATATGCAAAGGAACACTTGGGTAATGGTGGCTGTTTTTCTGATGGCAGTGGTAGCTGTGCACCATTGGGGCTAGCCCTGTTGCTGACTGGAGGAAGGGAATGTGTGAGGAAGTAGGAGATGAGAGAAAATGGGTGATTTTGCCTGCCATTGGATGCCAACTTCAAATTATTTTTCTCACAGGTTACCGCCATTTGCAGAAATAAATTTTCCTACCCAAGTGTAGATAATAGGTTTCCTTGAACTTTGCAAAATATGCATGGCATGATAACTTCTTCATATGAATGGAGTTGTACTTTTCAGTGGCTAGCTGTATTAAACATGGATTACTCTAATCTGCTTTTAGTTGTTTTGTCATGTTACTGACTCTGTTTTAAAACCCAAACACCCAAGTTTGATCTCTATATTTTGGGAATGGGGAGGAAAGATCTGATTACGCTACATGGTTTTTAGTACTAACACTATTCTTCTTGCTAGCTTCCAAAGGAACTTTCTTCTGAAGCATTTGACAAGACTATTTTAGGAGCACTAAATCAGGGCTTCCAGAAGCAAGAAGAAAGGCGACACCCAGACTTAGAGCCTATGATAAGGTAAAATTCTGTGCAATTGGTCTATCTCTTTACTATCAGATTCAATTTGATTTGATACTTGTCTTTCCTTTATTTTATGGATCATTAATCTCTTAACTAGTAATCTACATAAGCAAGCTATGTAGATTATTGGACAATTTAACTCCGAACTGGGTACACTAGGACCAGCCAACTTCATCAGGTATTGACAGTGTCTTGTGATGTATCAAGTACTGGACTGACTCCCCCTTCCCAAAACCCTTGAAAGCCAACATTTAAAATCAGTTAAATGCCTAACAAAGGGGGTAGAGTAGCACTCATTTAGGATCCAGGAAGGAGTGGGCTGAGGGAAAATCTTGGCTGAGGGAATTTTAGATAAGTTAGACCATCAATGGTTGTTGTAGGTTTTCCAGGCAATTTGGCTGTGTTCTGGAGGTTTTTCTTCCTAACGTTTCACCAGTCTCTGTGGCTGGCATCTTCAGAGGACAGGAGTTTGAACTCTGTCTGTGTCCTGGTATAGAATACATTATATCATCAACTTAGATGTTTCTTTGACCCATAAGTGCATAGAGGCAGGACAGTTACATGTCAGACAGTAAGCATATTTGATTTTTCTCCTCATACCTAGGACCACAGCACCTTATTCAAATTGCCCCTGTGTCCATGTGGCAGGTATTCATTCATCTATCAAACTTAAAGTTGTGTGCATATATACACCATTCATCTGAAATAAAACATATGACTTTTTGTCTGTTGCCTTTGTTATCATGTGATGTGCGGGTCATTTCTTTTTCTTGATATACAGTTGAGATTTCAACGCAAGGCTAGAAATTCATCCTCCCACTCCCTTACTGGATAAAGATTGGGTCAGCATAACAGTGACCTTTGTTATAAAGATCTTCCACATACCTGGTATTCTCTGTGTAGAGTTTTTTAAAGGGATTACTAACTTGTTATTGGAAAAAGTAACTGATAATTTTAGCCGTACATTTAATGTTTGAACTTTTTAATGTTGTGATTTTCCATATGATTTTAGGCAACTGTTTTCAACTACATCTCAAGCTTTTCTGCAGAATCAGAGAGTAAACAGCTTCTTTCAATCTCTGTCAGTGGAATCTTTCCATGCTCACAGTAAGAAACTTCCAGTTTTTCATTTTATTATAAACCTAGTATGGCACATAGATACCTAATACATGAGTTAAAGAAGCTGAACATGTGCATGTTTAAGAAATTTCATCAACATTGGTGGGCCAGATGGTAAAATTTGTGAGGTCAGTAAATAAAACATTGTTTAAAAGCTCTTGGTCCTATCAAGCTGAGTATAGTCGATAGTAGTTCATGGAACAGATCTATTTTTCTTGCCACCCCAAAAATTCTGTTCCAAAGGGTTGGCAGGAACAAGGTTTTGAAAGCTAGGATTGTGTGGTATGGGGCAGCAGTAGAGTAAAGTTGGAGGAAAGAGAGGGATCTGTAGGGGAAAGATGGAGAACTGTGTTTTTGTGAGTGGTCTTGCACATTCAAATGACTGGATAGGATACTAAACTTATGCCCGTAGATTAAAGTTAATAGGGTACATAGATACTATGAAGAAAGCTGTAGGCTTCTGTAGGCCTCTTATATTTTAGACAGTGCTTAGAGTAGGATAATATCTTGTACTTCAACAAATGCAGTCACATGTTTTCTTAGCACACTTTTCTGATACTGCCTAGCAGGTGCACTCGGAGCTGCTCATTGTCATTTGAACTTTCAAAGGGTGATGGTTGATGGTTGCATACTTGACTTTCAGGTCCTAAGAAACAATGATTTGTTCAGTAAATGCTACTTCAGGTATACTAAAAACTTGTCTTGAAGAAGTCAATGGTCTTATCACTTGAAAGGCAGTTAACTGCAAAAGACAGAGGGACAAATAGCAAGATGACCCTAGCCTTCTAAAAATGCATTGCTGCAGTGATAATTTAGAATTCTCTAGATATATTGCTGCCAACTTGATGCCTTGTAATGAACTTTGTTCAAATGAGTAAGTGATAATTTACTAAAAGAACTAAAACAGATAGCATAATATAATAGCATCTTCCTTTTAGTTTCTGATGCCGCCTTGTTAACAAAAGATAGCCTAGCCATTGTCCCTTACATTGCACCATTTTCTTCATTGCACAATATCAGTAAGTCATTCTTCTGTTTTTCTGTACAGGGCAGCCCAGTCACCTTGATATTGATATATTGAAGTAGATTAACGCATCTACTGCCAAATGAACATAAATTGTATAGCTTTTAATGTGTCATAGCCCTTTGTGAATCCACTTAACTGTTCTAAATACAGTTCTAAAAACATGCCTTTTGAAGTTGTTCAATGATCAATATTTTTCAGATAACTTCCAAACTTCTTTGAAAACATCTAAGATGCCGGAACACTTCAAGGAGGACAGTTCTGAAGCTTCAAGTCAAGAGGAAGGTAAACATGTATTCCAAGATGAAATCTCAAGCTTGTTGATAAAAAAATTATTTCTGGTCTGTCAGAGTAATAGCATTTTTTGGTTTATGGTTATGTTAGGGTGAAAACTATTAGGAACTGAAGTACTGAACCAATATATTTCTATGGCGACTCATCAAAATTTTGAGGCAGATTTGGGGATAATATACTGTGTGGCTTATATGTCAAGGAGCTCATTTTATCCTGTCCAAGTGGTTGAGCAGTCATGTGAATCAGAAACATATATTTGCAGAATTCTGTGTAATTTATAAAATTTATAAGATTTTCAGTCCTACCAGAATGCTGAAATCAAGCTTTATGCAAGTATTCACCTACATACAAGTTGGGTTAAAATGTGTAGAAGAGGTCTGTGAACTATATAAAGGAAACATTTTTGTGTCTATCACTCAGTCACTTACACACAAACATACACACGCTCGCTTAGCTTTTATAGGTCATATTGAATGTGGGAATATCTAAAAGTTCTTCTGTAAACATGCAGTTGGAAACTCTGTGATCCGGAAGCAGCTAGTCATGAAGGGCTTACATATGTCAGCCTCATTTGTGTGCAGGTGAATGCATGCTTTGGCTAGTATTCAGTCTGGAGGAGAATTTCTGATTCAGTTCAGCTAATTTAATAGTTCTTTTTTCCATTCAGAAATGATGCAGCACACATTGATTCATAAGAAACACAATGGGAAATGTCCTGTGGCCAAGTAAGTGTGATGTGTGTGATGTTTTTCTCATTTAAACAAACACGTGTGATACTTGATTTTGGAGGGACAGAAAAGACTGCCTTCTCAACTTGTTAATCTAAGAAATAAATTCCAAGGATGTCTGAAAGAGACATGGCTGAAGAGTTCTAGTTTACCTTGCAACTGTTGTAATTTTAAAATGTCAGATAAATAGAAAAGTAGCGTATGTGAACTTCTGTCATTTGCAACGGTGAATGCAAATATTAGGGGAACTTGGGCTAGCTTGTGAATCTGTCTTTAGTTTCACACAGGTTCTGCTACAATACATGCCACCTCCATAAATTAATTTAGAATTTTGAAACTGGACCATATGAGAAAAGAATCTGAGCAGCCTTTGAACTAGGCTAGCACACTTTATGGAAAGCTAGAGTGGCTAGATGCATGACATTCCACCCAGTTTGTAAGCACACCTGAAATATGCCTGCCCACATAGCCACTGTTCCGTTTTTTAAAAAATTATAATTTACAGGACTGTTCCAGACATTGTGATACCTCTGTAGTATCTCTTATTAGTTTTGCTGCCATTCTCTTTAAACGGGAAAATAGTAGTGTTACTGAAGTACGTTTACTCTCATGTTTTTGCTGATTTATTCCAGCTTTTAAAAACAAACAAGGGTCTGAGGTTCTATGCTGCACGTTTGCAAAATAGTAAACATTTTTCTAAAGTGCAGAGAGCTGTAATAGTAGTGTTGAAGGATGAGATTAGATGGATGGCAAAATCGGTTGCTATTTCTCCCATGTGAGCAGATGAATGATATTTGCCACTGTGTACTAGGAATCTACAAAGATGTTCTAGCTCATATGTAGGCTCTACACATAAGCAGGAATGTCTCCTCTGCGGATTTGTCACTTTCCATATAGTAGACCACTGGTTCTTAACCTTGGGTTACTCAGGAGTTTTGGACTGCAACTCCCAGAAGCCTTCACCACCAGCTGTCCTGACTGGGTTTCTGGGAGTTACAGTTCAAAAGCATCCAAGTAACAAAGGTTAAGAACCACTGTAGTAGACAGTAACAATAGAGAGAGGGGCTAGTGGCATCCTTTCAAATGTGATTAGTTTATTTGTAGGGAATTACTGATTTGAGCTTACAAAATGTGCTGTTTTCCTAATCACTTGGGATAGTAGATGCTTATTTTATGTACCCCCCCATTTTACATGCTTAAGGCAGGTGCCTCATTTGCCTTGCCCAGGTACTGGTTTGAAAAAGTTACATTTTTATTTCCCTAGGTGGGCTATAAGATATATCCTCCTTCAGAACCCAGCTAAGGACTGAAGGAGGCATCTTCAATCACAATATATTATGTATCTTTTGTAACAGCTCTATTAATACAAAATCATCATCCATGGATGGCTTTGATGTAACCCATTCTGAATATAATGGTGTGGCAGACTGGAGAAGAAAAGGCTGTGCTCTTCAGCAGCATCCAGAACATTGTGCATTACTTGATCAGGTACTTTAATATTTTTCATATTGGTAGACACATATTACTAAATGGCAGCAAATATTATATTAAGAGTAATAGTACAATAGTGCCCCGCATAGCGATGTTAATCTGTTCCAGGAAAAACGTCGCTATCCGGAAACATCGCTAAACGGAACGGAAAACCCCATAGGAACGCATTAAACTCCGTTTAATGTGTTCCTATGGGGACAAAACACACCTTTATGTGAAGATTCTCCATACGGCTGCCATTTTCGCCACTTCGGTAAGCGAGGGCAGGGTGCGAAAACGCTGCGGGTGGCCATTTTCTTCTTCCGGCGGCCATTTTGGAACCGCCGATCAGCTGTTTCCCAAACATCGCAATGCGAAGATCGGTAAGCGAAACGCTTACCGATCATCACAATGCGATGTTTTACCTATTAAAATATCGCAGTGCGATCGTAAAAACGATCGCAAAAACGATCGCAAAAAACACGTCGCTATGCGGATTCATCGTTAAACGGTGCACTCGTTAAGCGAGGCACCACTGTATTTGAAATATTTGTAATTTTTAATTAATATTTGCACAATGAAAAAATGGTGCTGGTGGTTTCCCTAGAAGGAATGAGTGATGTACTTCATACACCTGAGTGGCAGAAGCTTGGCTGACATTTCACAAGAGAAAATGGAGTTTAGCAGTGGCCAGAAAGGGTGTAATGCTAAAAGGGAAAACATGTCTCAAAGAGTTTTGCGGATCTTACATTTTTTGTAAAAGGAGATGGAACAGATCACAAGTAACATGGCAGTCTTTCTGCTGTTTTTGACTTTGCAGAACAGTGCTGTTCCTTTCTTGAACGTAGAAAAGAAACGTGATGCTTAAGCTAAAACCTGTGTAATGTCCTTGGATTTAGATACTGCCTCTCTTCATATAAACTTCAGTTTGTGTGACTGTCATCTGGGCAACATCTTGGAGAGCAGATATTGGCCAGTGGTTACCAGTTGGCTACTGGTTATGTAGAGCAATAAAACATTGGTGTGTTATTCCCATTTTCTGTGATGTAGGTCTACGGGTATTTCTTAAGCAATAGAAAAGCTATATATGTAAATTTAGATAGGACCTGCAAGAGGCAAATTTAGTTTTCAACACAGGCTTTCTTGCGAGATTGCAGGCCCACATTACACACAAAGTAAGTGTATTTGGGATGTGATAAGGCACCCCTGGACTTGTCAATTTTGGTGGTGCTCATACACTGGTGCAGCTGATCAGAATTAGTACTTCCATGAAGTATCTGATGTCTGCTAGTAGTGGGACTGTCAAATTACAGGCAGCTTCTGCATAGTTTTGGATGAACTACTCACCACAAGTTCATTAGGGAAATACATAAAACATTTCAAAACTCAGCTCTTAAAAATGACATCCAACCTTGCAACACAAAAGCAGCAGGTTAGAGTTCAAGAGCTGCTGATGTGGGAGGGATCTTTAGCTGATTTAATGAAAGAATTCTTCATTTTATATTCTATTCAGCATCACTACTTCCAATAGAACATGACAGTATCTTTTGTAACTTGTGCAGTGTGGGTTACTAACTGTGCAAATCTAGAAAAAGCATAATCATTTCTGTGCAAATTTAGAAAGAGCATAACTGTTTGTCCCACATTCAGTAAACTCCTTTGAGTGGTTGCTTGGAGTCTCATTTTGAATTTGTGACTAATTGTTAAACATTTAGAAAGTAACTTGATATTAGTCTTAGTTCTTTCCACTACAGTTATATGGAATTCAAGATTCCATTTTTGGCAGAAGGATTCTAATCTGGTATTACCGTATGTCATCTAGAATACAGGAGAGAAGAGGAATTTGCCTGCAGTGAGCAAGAAGAAAGGAAAACTGCAGTCAGAAAAGTAGGTGTTAATTTTACTTTTTCAAAACTGGGTATTTCTTAAATATTCACTAAAAAGAATATAATTTATCTGTTTCTATTAACAATAACTGTTTTTTACAGAATTAAAACAAGTATTATATTATTTTTAGCCAGTAACTGTTGTTAAGAGGAATATATGTAGAATGTTGAAAGCTGTGAATACAAAAATGCTATATATATATATACTGTATTTGGATTTTGTAAATAGATGTCAGTAATGGCTTTTAATAGTCTTTAGTGCACAATAGAATAACACCATGAGGTTAACAAAGTGTTGGGTCAAATTCTATCTCTTCTATTTATTTAAAGTATTTTTACCCTGGCTTTTGCCTTTAAAAGGACTGAAGGCGGCTTACATGATTGAAAGAAAATATTTAAAACTATAAATAATGAGTATATAACAGTGGTTTATATAATTAAAAGACAGTATTTCAAGTTAAGAACAAAGACAGCTTGCATCATTAAAATACAGTATTAAAGCTAAAAGCAATAAGTATACAAATATTAAAAAGGAACAAATGGCTAAAACTCTGAGAAATTGTAAGTAGAAGTAGTACTAAAGAGCCAGTCAAAGCAGTAATGCATAACAATCTATCTAAAAATCACACTCAGGTAGTCAGTTACTGAGGGAATGCTGTGTGTACAGATTTTGAAATGGCACTGTTTTGCTTTGGCAAAACCTAGATGATCTTAAATCCTCCTCCTCCAGTAGCAAGAGTTTCAGTTTTAAGTGGCCCAAATTCTTGTATTTCGTGATGCCTGCTGAAGGCAAATGGCGTAGCTAAATGCTTTCCTTTCGCTCTTAAGAAGTCACTGCTTGGATTTTTGTTAGAGGCCCATCTGATGCATTAGTGTACTATATGCCTGAAAATCCAAGTGAGGATTTGTTAATTACTAGTGCAAGTTATATCATTTGCCTTCCACTGATGTAGCTATGTAACAGGCGTTTGGCTGGTAAATTTGTAACACACAGATCTTTAACTTAATATTATGGCTCAGTGGTGCTCAGATATGATCTTATGATACATAATAACAGCATCTATTCCGTAATCCTCAGTGTAATTGCAACAGACACCCTAGATATGTTAAAATAGTAGCTCTACAACTTTTTCTTCTACCCTGTTTCCCTGAAAATAAGACCTAACCTGAAAATAAGCCCTAGTATGATTTTTCAGGATGCTCATAATATAAACCCTACCCCAAAAATAAACCTTAGTTAAGTGAAATCCTGCCCTCCACCATTGTACAGCATTGTGCAGCAACCGGAAGATGACACGACTATAAAATAAAACATCCCCTGAAAATAAGCCCTAATGTGTTTTTTGGAGCAAAAATTAATATAAAACCCTGGTCTTACTTTCGGAGAAACATGGTAGTCAGCACAAAATGACTTCCTGAACTGTTTTGACTTTGCCTAGACCTCATGTGTGTCATAGAAGAATTTATTCCCTTTTCCTTCTGATAAATGTTTGTCTCTCCCATATAGAGATAAAGTAAAGAGAACTGACACCAGGTTAACCACCAGAGCTAACTGTGTAAGAGTAGCTGATGCTCACCATCTCCACCCAGGAACAGCAAAAGGTAGGAAGCCTGCCTAGGAAACAGTTCAAATGTAATATAGTTTCTGTCAAGAATTCTGTTTTGATTTTTGCAGTAAGCAGTATATTAATCAAATATGTAGTGTATTGTCTTGTGGGGGAAAGTAGCAGAACCTCATGTTAGTGTTGCCCCTGGAGATGTCGCATGAGTGTAGTTTCCATTTGCAAAGAGCGTTTTGTTAGATTCTCCTAAAATAAACATTCTAAAATTAATCTTCATGGTTTTTCTGCAGTCTGTGGTTTAGGACATAAAAATTATTATCATCAAGATTCTCATACAAGAGAAAAACTGGGGGTAGGGGGTAGGAGCAAACCAGTTTAACAAATTCTTCAGAACAAAGACATTTTAGAAATTCCCATTGTTTGTTACACAATTTACCATTACAATAATTTACCAATTATTCCTTCATTCATTTTATAGTGAGTAGGTGCAACTTAGTATCTGCTGCATCAAAATTAGTCCAGCCTCAGGAGTAAAGTATCTTCATTAACATCCAAATCTCTAGAATTTGAAACCACATACCATCATCCTTTTTTTTAACAGAAAGTCCAGTAAGGGCTTCCAAATTGTTCTAAAGTTGGTTAATGATCTGTCCTTAGTTAAAGCTGAAAACTTTGTCATTTCCATCATTTCTAACACCTTAAGTAGGCAATCTAGTTTGGGACACCTCTCTAAATAGGGGACTTCTGCTCATAATCTTTGCTTTGTTAGAGATCTTATATTATCTTTGCAGACCATAAGGGGCAAAGCAAGTAACATCCCACCCTGTTTTCTGACCCTTATGGCAACGGTTCACAGAACATTCTGTGAGGGATTTGCCTTTTGTGTACTCTTCTGCTGTTCGCCTTTTAATTAATCAAGCAGGCTCTTCTTTTTCTTTCAATTCTAGCTAAAAGTACAATAGCTTTTCATCTAGTTTTTGCCCATGGCACAATTCGGGCGATTTCTCTGAGTGTTGGCACAGAGAGAATGCTCATTTTATATGAACATGTCTAATGACTGGTGATTTTCTGGCAACACAAGGAACAGCCCTAGTGTAGGGGTCAGCAATCATGGTTCTCCAAAGATGATTAGGCTGCATATCCCAATATCTCTTTTCATTGTCTTTGTAGCCCAAGGCTGCTGTGAATTGTAGTCCAGAAACACCTGTACTGGCCATGGTTGACCAGTACAGCATTACCTGAGACAAGCTAAACAAACCTCTCATAGCCATTCTTGCATTTAGGCATTTTTCTGAGGGTGGGGTGAGGCACTGGTGGCTACGAATACTGGCAGTGAGCCCTGCCTTCCCCTTGTTTACCTCATCAGTCTTCAATACCAGCCACCTGCTTTCAACAGATCAGTACTTCAAAGAAATCTAGATTACCAGCCAAGTGTTGTGAAGACTGGGGTCTAAAGTGTAAAATATAAATCAGGAGCTTGAGATTGAGAGATTACACCGAGTCAACTGCATTAATCGCCCCTTCTTCCTCTGGTCTGAGGAAGAAGTGAAATTTGAGTAGTGAAATTATTTTGAAGGCAGTTGTGTCAAATTGAACTGTGTTCAGTGAGCTGGCCGTCATCGTAGGTAGAAGGTAAAAGATGCAGTAAAAAACATGTTGGCATGCATATTAATAGAGATTCTTTAACAGTAACCTTGCTGCCATGAAATCTCTTCTAGATTCAAATTTAGACATCACAGTTGGACATGACACTTGTGGAGAAACCTCTTCAGAGAGTTACAGTTCTCCTTCTAGTCCACGGCATGATGGAAGGGAAAGCTTTGAAAGTGAAGAAGAAAAAGACAGAGGTTGTATTTGCATATTTTAAAATAATACATAGCATCCCTTCAGTGTGCATTTGTATTAGTGTGTCCAGGTCATAGACAGGAGTAATATCTTTAGTAACTTTCCTGATAGCATACAGTAAATTCTAACTTAAGTTTCTTAATCTGGTTTCTTTGGATGCTGTTTCCCTCTCCATTAAGTTATATATAATTAAACAATTATTTAGTTGAAAAACAATTGGAAAAGCTACAGTAATCTTTGGAACAGTGTGGGACGTTTTGTCAAATGTAGCCTATAACTGAAGTTGTGAAATTCCCAAATGATAGACCTTTTGTTGCCTTTTTAATCATGTTCAGAGTGGCTTTAAATGGCTTTTCTAAGCCCATACATTCTGTATACCTGCATCTTTTTCATCTGCCTCATATACCAGCTAAGTTTTGCTTTTCATCAGTGTTTTTACTACCTGTTACTTTATCTTATAAACTAAACTTGATTTGTAATATGTATCAGATGTAGGCTTTTTAGCTCGGTTTATATAAATGCTGCTTCACATTATCTTTTCTTTAATTTTTGAAATTTAATATAATTATATACAGTGACTGAAATCCTCTTGTGCTACTATGCAAAAGGCGTAAATGTTTCAATGTTTAATGGTGTCTTGCTTTCCACAGACACAGACAGCAATTCAGAAGATTCTGGGAACCAAACTGTGCTGCGGTTTACTGGCTATGGTGCTACAGACCTTAATAAGTCCTCAGCACAGATTTCAGTGAGATCAGACAATCAAAATATAGTAGACGATCCTCTGAGTTCACAGTTTCAACCCATTTCTTTTATGCCTCCCCTGCACTGTGTGGTGCTCAATGATGGACAGAAACCTGAAACAGTAGTCCCGCCTCCCATTTCTGCTGATGGAAAAACTCTGGGAATGATGGTTGCCAATTCAGCTCCTGTTGCAATGGGCTCAACCGCTGAATCTGAGAAGCATGTTGAACTTTTGTCTTCCCCTTTGCCAACCACCTTTCTCCCGTCTACAGTCCAGCACTTAACAGTACAGAGAACGAAAATATCTTCACCTCAGACATCACCTGAAAGCTGTTCAGTTACTGGGCCACAACCACAACAAACAGGAAACATAAGCATTGGATCGCCAAACACTGCCTTTATCCCAGTTCATAACCCAGGTAACTTTCCTGGATCCACAGTTCCCACTACAGATCCAGTCTCAAAATCTGCATCCCATGTGATGGGCTTAAATCAGATGGTGCCTCCTCATGTTGAGGGAAACACAGGAGTGATCCCTCAGTCTCCCAGTCTAAAAGTAGTTCCTGCAGCTGGTCTTCCACCAGTTCCTTTTACTGTACCAATAACTCCTCATGCTACCAGCGTGTTGCCCAATCAAAATACAACTGTATTGAATACTGTGGCTTCACCACCACCACCTCCATCATCTGGTCTCTGTGTTAGTCAGGTCCAGCCTACTGTTCCTCCTGCAATACCTACCCACACGCCAGGTCCTGCACCTAGTCCAAGTCCTGCTTTAACACACAGCACTGCACAGAGCGATAGCACATCATACATAAGTGCTGTTGGAAATACTAATGCTAATGGGACTCTGCTGCCTCCACAGCAGTTAGGGTCTGGGCCTTGTGGGTCTTGTGGTCGCAGATGCAGTTGTGGGACCAATGGAAGTCTTCAGATTAACAGTTATTTTTACCATAACGCACTTCACGGACAAGTCTACAGAGTTCCGCCTTTCTTTACTCTGCCATCGCTTTGCAATGGTAGCTACCTCAACCAAGCACATCAAACCAATGGAACACAGATCCCTTTTTACTTGCCTCGGGCCCCATATGCAAATGGGCTGATGCATGACCCAGTAATGGGGAGCCAAACCAGCTATGGTATGCAGCAAATGACAGGATATGGAAGGTTCTATCCTGTGTATCCAGCTCAAAATGTAGTTGCCAATACTAATGGATCAGGTCCCAAGAAGAATGGGAATGTATCCTGTTATAATTGTGGTGTTAGTGGGCACTATGCACAGGATTGTAAGCAGTCATCTATGGAAGCCAGTCAACAAGGTAATCATAATTCCCCACACAGTTGCTTTTGAATTCATTTTGTTTCTGTTGTTGTCCATACCACCCCATTTTTGTGCTATTTGTGGATTGTATGACTGTGTGCCCGCATGACTGACTGTAAACTCTTTAGTGATTTATAGTACACCTGAAGACTTAACATTGTTGTAGCAGAACAAAGTAATGAAATTCAGAAATAAGTAGGCAGATGGGCACGATGCACTGAGACTGGGGAAAAGCAGACCAAAAACTCAGTGCAGTTCCTTAGGTTATTAGCCTTTGTGCTGCCAAAATGCAACTCTGTATCTCTTAGTGGCACATCTCAAAGTGGCACTTTGAAGATCTGGGTTTTTAAAATGAGAATTCACACGTACATTGTAAGTTATCTGCTAAAGTTTGAAAAATGAGCATGCCACTTCCTCCACCCATACATAGAAAAATTTATTTTCTTCCCCCTCTCCTTACAAATGTGACTGATCAGGGGCACTCTCAGATATATAGAAATATGCTCAAGTGTAAATCAACCATTTGAGTCAAGGGGTGCTATTGGTTGTATATCTTTATTTTAAGATTTATAACTGTGAAATGTGCCCTTTGGTTTTTCTGGTATATTATATCTGAAAACTTGAACGGAGAAGACACTTTGGTAGGCTGATGCTTTGAAATTATATGTTTTAAAGTAGTCTTGCTGAAATAATTTTAATTGCTCCCAGACTGTAAATCCAGTGTAGCGGGCTTGTTTGATTGTAATGTTAGAAGGACAAGTGTAGTCTCACCTGAGTTAAGGTGGTCCCCCCCTTCAGTCATGAGGACAGAAGTTGAAGGCTTTTGCTTCTGCTTCTAGATTAATCATGGCCTACTGTGCCAAATTAATCCAGATAGGCTGTGGTTAATCTTAACTAACCATAGTTTACAAAGCTGGGTTGTTTTCACTGTCCAAAATTAACAGTAAAACTTTTAGTCTTGAAAGACAATATGCTCAATCAGGTGGGAGATGTGTGGCCCTTCAAATGTTCCAGGACCATCTGTTGTAGCCAATACAGGCAATGATGACATTTACAGTCTATCAACATCTGGAGGGCCAGCTGTACTCCAGCTTTGAACTTAATTGTGGTTCATCCGAGACAAGCTGAAGCTTCTATTCCCTTGGTCATTGCTACACAAAAGAGAGAGAGCTGGGAAAGGGGTATGTTTGAGCTTTAGGGGGAGGTTAAGCTAATTTGCAGCTAAACCATGACTCAGCATAATACCTGACTACAGGCAATGTGTGCTTGTTTGTTCAGGAAAAACTGTTCTTGGAATAATAACATTCCTTTATTTACAAAGTGACTTCTAGGGAGATTACATAAGATGGGGAAGCTAGTTTGGATAGGAGAATAATATTTATGGAGTAGCATGTTCAGTTTGGGATTTTTATAGCTTTTTTCCTCATAATTTAAGCAGTGACTTAGTAAGCTCTTTTTCCTATTCTAGGCACTTACAGATTGAGATATGCACCTCCCCCACCCCCTTCTAATGATACGTTGGATTCTGCTGACTGAAACCAAGTAAACATTGCCTACATACCAAAATGAAGGTTGGGAAATCTGGGGAATTCTTTGGATTTGAGAGATTCCTTGTGTGTGCTTATGTTCTGTTGCATTTTTTTCATTGCTCATGAACACCTGTTTAAACACAAAAGAAGAAAGCTGTTTTCTCCTGGCCTGACTTGCATAAAGTATAAGGCTATCTCAGTCATTCAATCAAAAGAACATTTGGAAAATAGACTTTTGCACTGAAGACTTGAGACGTGCAATGTTTACTGCATTTTGTAAAGGTCATTTAATTTCTGACTACACTGGTTTGAACAGCCGTATGGTTGAAAGGAGAAACTGGGTCACACTCCCGAAAGTCACCTTTTCCTTCCCCGCTTTTTCCTATGCTGCTACTGTTCTTTCTCCCACCTTTGCTGGCTCTACATGTCTCCATAGGATTGGATGGATGTTCAGCTGTTTAAACAGACCCTGCCCATGACTCTAGTATAAATTCTTGTGCTTGTGAACTGATGGGGGCATTGCTTGCTTTTCTTGAGAGGCAGAAAATTCACAAAATATATACAGCTCTCACGTGCCTAAATGGAAAATAAATAAATAGGATGGGAAAGGTTTAAAATGGTGTGAACGCTTGAGATTTTTGAAATAGAAATATGTTGAACAATTTTTTAAAATTCTGTTGCAGTTTTTTTAAGCCTGTTCAAATTGAGTAACTGGTATGGATGCCTTAGTTTGTGTGATTGTATTTGTAATGGAAATTGGAAACAAGTACCTTTATTGAACATATTCTACTATGTCAGTACAAAAAAAATGACTAGATTTTTAACATCTTCCCCTTTAAGCTATTACAGTGTTGTGTTTAGAATGTAAATTGTTTATTTCAATCTGGACAAAAACCTGTGTGTATTCAAAAAAATCTGTTGGTATTCGTATGCTAGAACCAGTCTACCAAATAGCAATGTCACTTTCTTATGACATTTACCACTGTGTGATCACGATATAATGTGAAAGACTCCAAGGAGTGTGAAGATTGATCATGTTAGTGTCATATCACTAAGTTTAACGCTGCTGTATTTTGTTTCTAGAAGCCAAGATGTACTAAATTGCTTCCAGGTAATATTTGATTTCTGAAGTGCACTGAGTTTATCTGGAAGAAAACCTTTGACTGTTGAAATCAACACTGAACTACCACCATTTGTGTACCCATAGGTATTGCAACTCATAGCAGAAATGTAGATTATACTTGCTTTTGTTTTTCTATTACAGCAGATGGAAGCCAGATAAAACATTTTCAATTAATTCTAATTGTTAAAAAAGAAACTTGAAGAAACTTGATTTACTACATTTCTTCATAGATAGCATTTATATTTATAGCACCAATATATTTTGGAAGTGAGGGGACAAAGGGATAGATGAGAGCTTTAATTTAAAAAGAAAATTACCATAGGAAATTATTTTGGTTAAAAATGTGCTGGATATGTTGGACCATAATAAAATGAAATAACTGCTTCTGAGTCTAGCAAGGGTGTCAGAGCACCAGTGGACCTGCATTCTCAATTATCTGCCAGTTTTCTTTATGGGACTTATTTTATGATTTAAGATACTGTACTGTAAATAGGAGGCATGTTGCCTTCTCTTTCTTTGTATGTTTACCATATACTTTGATATTTGAAATGTTATGTACTGGAAAGGTCACTTATATTTCTAGAACAGATTGGATTTTATGCAGCATTTTTCCTTGGATTAACAGCAATAAAAAGAGAAAAAGCATCTGTTCGAAAGTACTGTACTTAATTCCTGGCTGTCAGAATGAGGTGCCCTACTCATTTTCTGCAGTGAAAGATAATGAGAGTTGTGATCATTTTAGCATGCCCTGAAGATCACAGACTTGGATGGAAAATGGCTGAGTAGAGTAAAAATAACTTTCTAAGCAAACTTATATTTAGTTCAGATGGCCAAAAAAATAAGCTGCCCAGTGTTTAAATCCAGGATGAGCAACTGTGACCCCTCAGGTTGTGTTTAATTATGTCCAAACATCCTTCTCCTTTTAGGCTCATGAGAGTTGCTGACTAACAGTATCTCAAGAGCCATAAATGTCCAGCTTTGGTTTCACTGTGGAATGGCAGTGGTGACTCCATTTAAACCCCTGCCCCCCTTACAGGCTGCAGTTTGCTGTTTGGTAACTGCTGAGCCATGACTCCTCAACACCACTCCTAATGTATGAGGGGTGCTCTATATAGATAGCAAGACGTAGGCCTCCCAGGAAGCACTGGGACAGTTTCCTTTTTTTGTACAGGAAGTAGGCCCTGTTCAAGGTGAATGAAATCTAGATTACAGGAACTCACAAACTTCTGGCTTGAAAATTCTTGGAGAATTCTGGGAGTTGGAGCGCCAAAAAAAAACAAAAAACCAAATGGCATGCCCAAGGGGCTGCCATATGGCTGGTTGTGTGCATATGTGTTTGGAGCAAGATTTATTTGTCTTTGGGAGCCAAATGTGTAACTTTGGAGTCATACTCCAAATTATGAATAATCAAGTAATTTTATTGCCCAGTCTGTGTGGCTTTGCTTACGGTGTACTGTTTATTCTCAACTTGAATACTACTGTCTGCCTTGTTAGGCAAGTGGGTCAGCAGATGTTAATCAGGTTAACTAATGCTGCTAAACATGTTCTTGACCTCACTTTGGAGTAAACTGCTTGCTAAAGCTAGTCAGCAAACAGTATTTTGAGAAATAAATGTATACCTGTGAGTTCCGAAATATATAGCAGTACCTGCTTGTCATTATTCAGAGTGTGCGTGTATTGGGAACTACAGGATAGGATCTTAAATGAATTGGCCTTCTGGAATATTATCTTGGAATAAGCCATATGCTGTGGGAGGGAATGCATGATTTTTTTTAGACACAGTGGATTGCCAACAATCATTTAGTCATTTTATGAAACCATTTAAATTCTTCTTTTCATACTTTCTCAATCACAGCTTTCTGAATGTATTTTTTCTCTTCTATGCTTCAGTTTCTGGTTTGCATGCCACCACAAATGGCTACCTTGCCTCACTGCAATCTGTATCTCACCTATCTCTTTTTAATTGCTCTTACTACTTAATATTATTTTTAAACTTGCTGTAGCCCAGTTAAGTAACTTTTTGTATTTTGTGTCAATCTCCATTTTTTTTGGTCCTCACAATCTCTTCTTTTAATTAGTGTTACATGGTTTTACTGATGGAAATGCCAGTAGTGCCATGTTATGCTACAAATTGAGAGCAAAATTCCCTGAAAAAACTGTGACTTGCCCATTCATTTCATTGAAGTGGAACTTTGTTTATACATATAATTTTTATTAATACAACATAAACCTACTACCACACAAAGAACTATAAAAAGCAATAAAAACAATAAGATACAATTTCACAAGCGCCACCATCACCTTCAGGACTAGCATTAAACTTCATTCAATCCATTTTGAAGTGTAACTTGGGTGTCTAACATGTTGTAAGGTATATCCCTGCCCACTATTGCACTGGTCAATGCTTTTTGGGCTGTTCATATGTGTTGAATGAAATAGAGCCACTATTAGTATAAGATGCAATAAAGAAGATCCAGGGACAAAGATAACATAATTCCAAGCATAGGTTCTGTAGAAATAGGACACCAGTGTTTCTTACAGAAAATAAATAGGTGAAATGCTAGTGAAAATGCCAGCATTAGATTCTTTGTTCTGCAGATCATGTAAGTATAAAGTGTATAAATGAATGTAAGCAATTTAAGTTTGAATTACAGTACAACAATAATATTCTTTGGATCAAAGTCTGCACTTATTACACATTTGGAAATGAAGAACCTAATGAATTCAACCAACTATCTAGTTCTGAGTTTTGTCCTCTTTTGTACATAATGACTACACTGACAGATCACATACCCCCAATGCAATTGGCTCTGGGGGAAGTGTCAGGTGGAAATACACAAGTGCTGGGAAAGACCCATGTATGTTTCTAGTTCAGTAATCGGGGCTAGGGCAATCTCATTAAATGTGCTTTTGGCTGCACTCAGTGAACTAGAAGTTCATAGTATAAAGTTGTACCTACTGTTGTTGGGGTACATGGTATGTATGGAAAAAGGGAGAGCTGTGGTGTAGAGGAATGAGCTCTTAGTGTACTTTCTCTAGTCAAGTATGGAAAGCGATAGTTCTTCAGTGTCTTCCTAGAATCATAGAATAATGAGGTTGGGAGGGACCTATAATGCCCTTAAGTCCAATACACTGATCAATGCAGGAATCCATATCAAAGTATATCTGACAGATGGTTGTCTGATTTTATCTTGGATGCCTGCAGCGCTGGAGCACTCAACACCTCCTGAAGTAATTGGTTCCATTGTACTCTCTTAACAGGATGTTTTTCCTCTTATTCAATTGAAATCTGGTTTCCTGTAACTTGACTCCATTGTTACATGTCCTGCAATCTAGAATGATCAAGAACGGATCCTGCCTGTTCCCTGTATGACAGTCTTCCAAGTACTGTATTTGGAAAGTGCTGTCATATCTCCACTTAGTCTTCTTTTTAAAAGGCTAAACATGCTCTGTTGTTTCACTCTTTTCTCAAATAGCTTGGTTTCCAGTCCTCTGATCATTCTTGTTGCCCTCCTCTTAACTTGTTCCAGTTTGTTGGCAACCTTCGTAGTGCTAATAGAGGGGAATTAGTACTTCACAGGATTTTGAGACTATACTTGTGTTAATGCAGCCTAAAATAGCCTTTTCGGTTTGTTTGTTTTGCAGCCACATCACACTGTTTACTCATACTCAGCTGGTGATCTATAGCAATTCTAAAATCCATCTTACTCATAGTTCACTGAGCCAGGTATCTCCCATCTTGTAGCTGTTTGGTTTTTTCCTTTAGGTGTAGAACTTTGCACTTCCCCAGTTAAATTTTATTCTGTTGTTTCTAGCCCAGTGCTTCAGCCTATTTTGTTTCTGTCGTCCAGGATATTAGGCATTCCACCCAATTTTGTGTCATCCACAAATCTGATAAGTATTCGCTGTGCCCTCTCATCCCAGTCATTAGTAAAAATGTTGAAGAGCACCAAGCCCAAGACTGAGCCTTGTGGTAACCCACTTGCTACCTCCTCCCAGTTTGAGAAGGAGCCATAGATAAGCGCACTCTTGAGTATGATTCTGTAATCAACTGTATATCCGCTTGACACTTGTGCTGTCCAATCCACACCTAATTAGCTTGCTAATCAGCATATCATGGGGCACCTTGTCAAAAGCTTTGCTGAAGTCCAGCATTCCCACTCTATCAGGGAGTTACTGTTATTACAATACAGTTATCAGAAAGGTAAATACTTCTTACAGTTAGAGATGGGGAGTACACTGGTGCCTCGCTTGACGACGATAATCTGTTCCAGCAAAATCGCTGTAGAACGAAATTGTTGTCAAGCGAAAGTAAAAAACCTATTGAAATGCATTGAAAACTGGTTCAATGCGTTCCAATGGGCGAAATACCTCATCGTGCAGCGAAGATCCCTCCATAGGGCGGCCATTTTCCGGTGCCTGTTAAGCAAGGAATCCCTCCTAAATACAGCGGGGAGCCATTTTGCGATCCGCCAATCAGCTGTTTCAAAACCATCGTTAAGCGAAAAATCGGTTCCCAAAGCAGGGCACCGATCGTCATAAAGCAAATTTTCCCCATTTAAACATTGTTTTGTGATCGCAATAGCGATCGCAAAAACCTCATCGTAAAGCGGATTCGTCATGGAGCGGGGTAATCGCCAAGTGGGGTACCACTGTATTCGTATATGAATATGAATACCCCCACACAGGTGGACTTAATGGGGGTCCGGCCCCTGGGTCTGGATTATCCACTCACGTGTCCGGTGGCAGCCTCAGTCAGCCTTCCAATCACGGGGTCCGGCCCCTTGGTCTGGATTGTCCACTCACGTGTCCAGTGGCAGCCTCAGTCAGCCTTCCAATCACTCCCAGAGCTCTGCTCTCTTTCCGCTCATCTAGCCAACTCCAGGCAGGGGGAGGGAGGATAAGTCTCCCTGCACGGCTGCCAAGTGGCAAGATGAGCGGAAAGAGCGGCGTTCCAGGACCGATTGGAAGGCTGACCGAGGCTGCCACCGGCACTGGATGTGTGGGTGGATGGTCCAGCCCCGGGACTGGACCCTCGTTAAGTCCAGCTGTGCAGGGGTATTGGATACGAATATCCCCATCTCTACTTATGATACTTCACACTAATTTAGTTGAAATCCATTTGTAACAAGAAACAGGAAACCTTTTCCAAGGTATAAAAGTTATATGATAACACAATTATCTAAGTTTAAAACTAGACAACGCTAATATAATGCCAAGTTATAAATAAGGATTTTACACACACCAGTATTCAGCTCTGTCAAGTATATGAAGAAGACAGCAAGTGCTTGAAAAGCAGAGACATCACCTTGCCAACAAAAGTCCGAATAGTCAAAGCTATGGTTTTTCCTATAGTGATGTATGGAAGTGAGAGCTGGACCATAAAGAAAGCAGACCGCCGAAGAATTGATGCCTTTGAACTGTGGTGCTGGAGGAGGCTCTTGAGAATCCCCTGGACTGCAAGGAGAACAAACCTATCAGTTCTAAAGGAAATCAACCCTGAATGCTCACTTGAAGGACAGATTCTGAAGCTGAGGCTCCAGTACTTTGGCCATCTCATGAGAAGAAAAGAGTCCTTGGAAAAAACCTTGATGTTAGGAAGGTGTGATGGCAAGAGGAGAAGGGGACGACCGAGGATGAGATGGCT